TTGTGAATGGCAGTACCCTGGAATAGGACACACAATGGAATGGGTTTATCATTAATATTAATAGATACACCTTGGCTTTTCCTGTTACAATTTTTCATGATGTTCCTGTTATGTCAAAATGTCTGCTGTGAAAAAGGTCTATGGTTGCTGGATAATTGCAAGAAATGTCTGCGTCGTGACTTGCTAAACAACAGTTAGTTACTTCTTACTTCTTTCTTTGTATTTAGTATTTTGGTGCTCATTACTAAAAAGTTACCAGTGAGAAAACTACTGTTTATTAGGTAAATGTCTCTTGGGAGCAAAAAGTGCTAGTTTGAGTCAGAGGCTTTATAAAACGCTAGACAGAGTTCACAGGTAATAAAGAAAAGACAAACCATGTTTCTCTTTGTATACCAGTTTAGTACCATTTTTTGTTAAATGTGAAGCTACAGCAGCTGGTTAGCTTATCTTAACTTAAAAGTATAAAGACTTTGAAGAGAGGGAAACAGCTAGCCTGGCTCCTTCCAATGGTAACAAAATCTGTCTATAGCACTGCTAAAGCTCATGTTTTATCTTGTTTGTTTAATTCACACAAAACCGAAGTTTATAAAGTACTTAAAGGTCCAGTGTGTAATATTTCTGAGGATCTATAGACAGAAATGCAATATAAGATCCATAACTATGTTTTCAGTGGTGTATAAAGACCTTACATAATGAACCATTATGTTTTTATTACTTTAGAATGAGCCATTTATATCTACACCACTTTCTATGGAGGTCACAGTATTTTGTCGTAATTTTTATACAATAGCCGACAACGGACAAACAGCGCATTAAGTCCATCCATAGAAGAGGAAGACGAAGTAATAATAATTATAATTATTATTATTATTATTATCATCATTATTATAGTAGTCATCCCGGCCTTTCTGTGTGGAGTTTGGATGTTCTCCCCGTGTCTGCGTGGATTCTCTCCGGGTGCTCCGGCTTCCTCCCACCATCCAAAGACATGCGGCCTAGGTTGATTGGTGTCTCCAAAATTGTCCTTAGGTGTGAGTGTGAGTGGTTGTTTGTCTATGTGTGGCCCTGCCATGGATTGGCGGCCTGTCCAGGGTGTACCCCCCCTTTCACCAGATGTCAGATAGGATTGGCTCTAGCCCCCCCGCGACCCTGTACGCAGGATATTGACGATATGGATACAGTCTCTGAGTAGTCTTCTGGTTTATTAGAAGTAAGAAGAGAAGTGACATTTGGACAAATGAACGAGCACACGTGTTATTTAGCACGAGAGCCGACAGCCTGTGGATCTTTATACCATGAAACCAGACCGGGACAGATGCAGACAGCTGACGGCAGAAATCACTAACATAATCGGTGGGGATTTTCTCAGATGGAAGGCTTTGATGTGGGACAGATATTTTTAAAGCGGAGCTGAAGTTGTCTGTTTTCTGCTGGACAGGTAATAAAGTTAAGTTTGTTGTACTTTAGGAACGCAAATGAAAGCTGTTGTTTGATAGCTTTAGCTAGAAACTGGCCATAATCTACAATAGACCTGGCGTGTTTCTCCTGTCCACTTTTGTAAAAGGTTTTTCTCCAGCGCTGTGCTTTTTCTTGTGGTGTAAAATATGTAGTTGGATTAATTTCATGTAGTGACTCTCTCTCCAGTGCTCTGTTTTGTCTTTGTTGGTTACCTTCGTGAGACAATCAGCTGATCACTAATTGGCAATAAAATGCAGCTTCCAGCATGAAAGCTCGGATCATATGGTATAAAAAATATGTTGTTGGATTGTGATTTACTGTAGTTATTCTCAAGCCTCTGTTATGGCTTTGTTACGTGGACAGAAATGTGCCCTTACCTTCTTGAGACAAACCGCTGATGAATATTATTGGTAATAAAACAGTAACAGCAGGGAAGCTCAGATCAGCAGCTAAACTTCTGTTGAATACTGCCCTGGTGGAAAACATGTATTTATTTTACTGCTAACAGTGACACATAACATGACCGTGTGCCTGTCAAGTGACCAATAATGAATACTGTGCACACAAATGTGTTTGTACTTTCACATACTAAATGCCCAATAAAAACGTTGCACCGTTTTACCTCTAGCTGAAATTATGGCAATCAATACTACTTTGTGTTTCTGTTGTATTTAGAAAAAAAAACCAAAAAACTTTTTGGTAAGATTTGCAGATTGTTTATCTAATTAATTAAGCAAAGCGAGAGGAGTCTTGATCCTCCCCTGACAATGCCACATGTATTATGTGGTTTATAATGGACTGTGGTGCAGAAACAGTGAGGCTTATATTGTCTTGTTATCTGTCAGTGGTCATACTTGATGCACTAGATGTGATTTGAGTTTTTGAGATGTCTGTCCAGATGAGCCAACCCTCCCAAGATGTAACAAAAAGTATGATTACAGCACAATAAAATAATGTATCACAGGAGAATGACATCATGTAACATTTCATTTCTTGATGTGGCTGTTGTTTAATGAACAAGTAACAATATAAATTCACAATAACATATGGTTTTACTGAATAATCAAGTAAATATAATTTCTTAATATATCTATCTAAAGAAACCTGATTTCTTGACTGGCAACTCTCTGCTGTCTCACAGAGGACATCTTTTGTCCTGTCTCAGGCACCGTAGCTATACAGCTTGCTTGGATAGGGGAGGGGGGTGCAATTCGCAACTCTCACCACTAGATGCCACTAAAACTTACACACTGAACCTTTAATAGGTGTTTGTGCTAAGCTAAGCTAATCTAACTCTTGGTTAACTTAGTGTTCACTAGGTGTACATTAAAAATAAATTTTGCATCAAACTAAATAAATGCAGTCTCCTTAAACACAACACTGCTGCGCAAGTAATAATGTGGTCTAAGGCAATTTGTGCAATTGACCCCATATATGAGAATAATTCTTAACACTGGATTTTTGGAACACACCAACTAATTTTTTTTTACAGTCTTAAGTATTAAAACTGCATGATCTAGCTGAACTTCAAACAGCCGTAATTATATTCAAGGCTAGTAACAATATGTTGCCTGGTAATATACAGAAGATTTTCTGCAAGAGACAACTTAAGGGTAGTCAAAGGTTAAGACTCCCATTATTCTACAACAAGGAAGTTTAGGCAAGGCAAGGCAAGTTTATTTGTATAGCACATTTTAACAACAAGGTAATTCAAAGTGCTTTACATAAAACATAAAAGCAACAGGGAAATATGTAAAAGTTTAAAAGCAACATAAAATATAATAAAGGAAAATAAAAACAGGCTGAGGGGTTGAGCAAATAATTGAGTTACAATTAATTGTTAATTAACTGAAACTCCAAAAACCCTCGGACACTACAGAAAAAATAGGACATGTCTGTCAGCAGGCCACTTTGATCCAATTATACTCTAAACCCACCTGCACGTTTACAGGTGGACAGAGGTTCCTGCAAATCACTCGGGTGCAAGATTTAAGACCACTTAAAAGCAATGGTAAAAAGAAAAGTCTTCAGTCTTAATTTAAAAGAACTGACTGTTTCAGCAGACCTGCAGTTATCTGGGAGTTTGTTCCAAATATACGGAGCATAATAACTGAACGCTTCACCTTCTCCTTGTTTAGTTTTGACTCTGGGGACAGAAAGCAGACCTGCCCCAGACGACCTGAGAGGTCTGGATGGTTCGTAACGAAGCAGAAGATTGGAAATGATTGGAAAGGACTCGAGCAGCAGCGTTCTGAATCAGCTGCAGCTGTCTGATGGATTTCTTAGGGAGCCCTGTAAGGACGCTGTTACAGTAGTCAAGTTGACTGAAGATAAATGCATGGATAAGCTTTTCCAGGTCCTGCTGAGACATAATTCCTTTAATCCTTGATATATTCTTCAGGTGATAGTAAACTGACTTTGTAATTGTGTTAATATGGCTCCTCAAATTCAGTCCGTGACTACACCAAGATTTCTGGCTTGATTTGTGGTTCTTAACATTACAGATTGAAGTCGAGCACTGACTTCCAATTGTTCCTCCCTGGCTCCAAAAACAATCTTCAGTTTTATCCTTGTTTAATAGAAATAAATTCTGGCACATCCAATCGTTGACCAGTGCCTGTATGGGATTATAGTCCCCTAGTGAAATGGTTATGTAAATCTGTGTGTCATCTGCATAATTATGGTAACATATTTTGTTGTTTTTCATAATCTGAGCCAGTGGAAGCATGTAAATGTTAAACAAAAGAGGCCCCAGAATGGAGCCTTGGGGAACTCCACGTCATTTTTGACAGCTCAGATGTGTGATTACCTATAGACACAGAGTAGTCTCTGTCCTTTAAGTAGGATTCAAACCAGTTTAGTACTGTGCAAGAAAGTCCAACCCAGTTTTCAAGTCTGTCTTGTAATATGTTGTGGTCGACCGTGTCGAATGCAGCACTGATCCAATAATACTAAGACTGAAATTCTGCCACTGTCAGTGTTTAAATGGATGTCATTGAAGACCTTAACAAGAGCCATCTCAGTGCTGTGGTGTGGTCGAAAACCTGACTGGAAGACATCAAAACAGTTATTTAGTGCCAAGAAAGCACTAAGCTGTTGAAAAACAGCCTTTTCAATGATTTTACTTAAAAATGGGAGATTTGATATGGGCCTATAATTGCTCATTAGTGAACTGTCTAGATTGCTCTTTTTTAAGAGTGGCTTAATGACTGCAGTTTTCAGGGCCTGTGGGAAAAAACTCTAACATTTAGGGGATAAAGGGGTAGAATTACATAAGTTTTACTCCTTCCTACTCCTTTTCACACATGTAAATAGAGGTTTTTAAGTTATTATGTTATGTTAAATTATGGACCATGTTTTTTACCACTATATTTTTACTTATTGTTTTGGATATTTGACATAAAGATATCAATCAATCAATGTAGACAATTATTAAAGGGTTCTGACCTACTGTTATTGTTGATTTAGTAATAAATTATGTGGTTACTATAAATCCATGGCTCCGTTGTCCTCCCCTTGTCTAGAAAGGTCATTCAACTCACCGTCTACACATGCCGGCCTTGCCCTGGTGGTCCCGGCAATCTGGCCTCTCCGGCAGGCACAGCGGGCCGTCTGCCTAGCGATGGTCCGTCTGGGAACGCTGCTGTCTCTGTTGAGCATCACTATCTCGCAGGTTCCCACCGCCAACTGGCCTGCCAAAGACAGCAGCAAGGAACATCAGAGTACATCACATTAGCATAATGAGACTGTAATGATCATATTACAGAAGAACAACTGGTGTTCGAAGGTAAAAACAACTGGCAGCCTGGATGCAGGGGCCTTCTTTGGTCTGTGTAGCACTGAACAGTTTAATACTCTCATTTAAAATCTCAAATGGAAAAATGAACAACTGATTCAATGTTTTAAAAGCAGCATCTTCAGTTTTAATATAGCTCAGTTGATAAAACTGCCTTATATTGATTATTTGGAAAACAAAAAAGAATCTGTTAAAAAGTACATTTTCTATTTTGCTAGTCTTTACTGCATACTGATTGTTTTCCTTTTCTTAGAGTGTTAGGAATAAAATCAAAAGGGTTCTTCTGATTGGAAACATGAATGTGCTCAGCAAATTTCATAGCAATCAGACCACTACATTATGAGATATCGAGAATGTCCTAAAGATAATTGTCTGTCAGAAGCAAAGGTGACATTGCCTGACATCGTTAGAGCACAGCAAAACCTCCTGGAGAAGATGTTGGGCGGATGGTTGTTATTTTTTGTACATTTTGGACATTCATGGTGCCCAGACAATGAATCCTAATGACTTTAGTGATCCATGAGTTTTCCTCTAGCTCCACCATGAGGTTCACATTTGTGGTTATGATTAGTAATGCCTCAACAGTTATAAATGGTAAAGGGCTACATTTATGTTGTGCTTTTATCCAAAGTGTTTTACGAGGTTGTTGCCGCTCATTCAACCATTCATGCAGGCACTAACACAGAGGGCTTCGAGCCACCATGCAGGTTGATGTGTCTTGCCCAACGACATGTGAACTGCCAACCTTGTGATCAGTGGAGGACCCACTCTACCTCCTGAGCCTCAATGGATTGCCTCAAAATCAGGGACAGATATTCATGTCCTCCTCAGGATAAATTGTTATCTTTTTGGTAATCCCAGTCCTTTTACTTAGCGCCATCATCAGGTCTTTTCAATGACATTCCCATCAGCCTCAGTTGTATTTTGAGTTCAGTGCAAGTGTGCAAAAATAAGTGCAATTTTACATATAGTCCCAGGGGTAGCAAAAAAGATATATATGGATATAGATTATATATATATATATATATATATTATATATATACACACACACACACACACACACACTGAACTAGTTAATGAAACGTGGACCTATGGCTGAAATAATGTGTGACTTGGTTGGCATGGCAGTCAGTGGCTGCTGGGCACTGTTCTCCACAGACCAATTGTCAAGCCAAGTTAAGCTCTTCTGAAATGGCAAATGGACAGAATGTCTTAAAGTGATGATTACCTTGGTCTGAAATCTCGAGATGTGTGTCTGCTATTCTTACACTTCTATCCAAGCACAGAGAATTACTTCAGAGTTCTCAGCCATTACAAATTGATGGATGACTCCCTGGCCAGGGACCTGTGGTTAAGCAGGTTTTTTGAGTTTCAAATTTGTCAGAATGTGATGTCTAAATTAATTACACAAACTGGAGAAACCTAAAATACACAAGGCTGTTTCAGCTGCAAATGGAGTACTTGGGGGGGATTCAATTTATGTTCTTCATCTTAACTTGTTCATGTCAGGGGAGTTAAAGGAGTTGATGAAACACATTTTAAACTTTTAACTCAACTTTTTACTTGGCAAAGTGTGTGATGAAAATAGCACAATTCCACTTTGATTCCAATTTCCAATAATTCGTGTTTATTTGAAATATTGAATGAGTTTGGATGAATGTATTTAGCATTTTGTAACAGCAAGAGGTGAATTTCCAGCAGCTGCTCAGCATTCAAACATACCTGTGTCAAGGTGAAGAGCTTTGTTCCTGGCTATAGCTCGTGATAATTTCTAATGAGTCACACTAAAAACTTTCCAACAGGCATTGGCAAACAAAAGAAGAGCTGTAACAATGATGCTTTCAATGTTAGGATTTATTAAATGAACCCTCTATGTGGCCTTTTGTTGCAGCAGTTTGATTGACCACAGCCGTTTTGTTTGTGGAAATGATGTAAAAACCAGAGGGAACATATTTAATTGTCTTTTATTTAGGCTTTCCTGGTTTATTTGAGGAGAATTATTAACTTTTAATAGTCTTGTGTTTTATAGATGAACAAGCTTTAATTAAAGTAAATTGCTTGAGGGTGTCGGCTGCTTTCAACACATTTGGAAGAACAAACATTTCAATATATGTAGATGACACATTTTCAATATCACCTTAGTCATTCAAAATCAAAGGGACGTTTGTTGCAGCCTCAAATGAGAACTAAAAAACGAATCAATAACTTGCTGAACTGCTGCTGAACAATACTAATATGTGTGAGTACATCAAATCTGACTCAGCTTGAACTCAACACATTTCTAAGTGTAATATAAATGCATGTGGAGGTAAAGAACTATATCACAACTTAGGTGTTTAGGTTGAACCGGACAGTAAAGCTCAGAAAAAGTTAGGGAAACTTTTGTAATAATCTGGAAAAAGTAGCATAGTTTCTTCCTTCTTTTCTGTATTAAATGGAAAGGTGCCAGTGAAAGCCATTCAAGCTGACACTGAAATAAAATCAGCTCAGCAAAGAGAGGTTAGAGAAGAGTCTGTGCTGCAGTTCTTGTAAGGTCAATCCCTGGCATTCACCAACCATCACTCCTTAACACTAGAGCTTCCCAGCACCCTCAAAGGCTCATTAAGTGAGACGCAAACTGCTCTATAGCATGAAATGACTGTAATAATGGCAAAGGTTAAAAGGGTTGTTGATCAACACAAATGACTCATAAAATTACCTCACCAGGTGCTGAGACTTCCAGGTTTCAATAGCCTCTAAGTTTCAGAGCAAGACATGTTGGAATTATTCCAAATGATGATTATAGTGAACCTGTGGGCTTTTTTTAAGGATATCATAACGTCAAAATGTCTCCTGGCCATATATATATATATATATATATATATATACATAGTATATATTAGGGTTGTATGATTAATCTAATCGCAATTGCAATCACGATGTCACCCTGTGTGTGTGACACTCTAGTCTGTGTGTGCACTGCAGTCTGCTCATTATCCACAGACACACCGGGCTCTACAGTGCCACCATTTCACTCGCATATGCCCCTAAAAATAGATACTTGCGAACTGTAAAAATTATTCAAGAGCACAGTGTGCAAGTAAAGACTACAGCCTACTGTAATTCCCCCCCTCCAACAAGCCAGGAAGTGAATAAGTGTATATCCCATAATGTCAGGCCTGCTTTGCCTAGTTGGTTAATATAGCCTTGTTCTTGACCTATGTCAAGCTCTAAAATGCCTGAGTTTTCACAGACTTTACTGTCTAAATGAACAGATTCTCATATTTTTTTTGCAGTACAGTGACCCTTTCTTTCTTTTAGGTCAAACCTCTCTGCTATGAATATTTCATTTCATAGCATCAGTTGTGATGCCCAACTTCAGCCACCCTCTACCCACCACTCAGCCCACTCTCCACTCAAGTCCCTGTATAGTTGGTGCCTGCTTGGAGGACAGAGATGCCATCAGATATCAGTGCTTTCTGCCATGTTTCAACACCGAACAGATGAATGGGCTTCATGCAATAAGCCTGAAGGAGGAGAATAGTAAGGCGGGGGGGGGAAGTGGGGAGTGGTGTAATATGGGTGGGTGGGTGGGGTGTTTTATAAAGTGCCCTCTAACCACGGCCAGCGCTCCATCATACATACAGCTGATAATTCATGTGACAGGGGGTTTCTGTCACTCAGTAGCGTGAAGACACTTGGCCGCGTCTCTATTTCACATGATGGAATACGCATACGGCTGCACCGGCGAGAAGCGTGCTGGGTAAAGATGGCACCACATTGCTGTCCAGCCTCTGGATTCTGACAGAAACAACATCTAGAGGGCTACAGGAAGCCGATACAGAGCACAGAGCTTGGCACTCAGCACTGACTGGCAGCCTGATGACCTTATCACTGAATCACAACACTATACAAGTGCAGCGTGGCAGAGCATACACGCACAGGGGTTGAAACACATACAGCTTAGAGCAAAGACGTCTGTGCTCTACATATCAGGGCTTTGATCAAACACTGCAGATCACCAGACATACTGCAGATCACCAAGATACAGGAACACAAATATCTTAATATCTCTCCTAAAATAGGCTGCCAGGAGTCACACTTGCTTTCACAATGTTACCCAGTTCAATGTGCGTCACAGCCATATTGAGAATTCGTGGGCATGATGAGGTTATTAAACTCTAAATACATTACACTGGCTGACCCCGCCAACGTACAGTGAATAAAGAAAACCTCTAATTATCATCTTTCCTGTTAACTTTGCAATCTATTCCACTGTTCCTTATTTAGAGAGTTGAACTCATCAATAAAACCATAACTTCACTCTATCTTATCTTTTTCCTGTTTGTCTCTTTAATTAAGAGACTGTGCAGATACATAAGTAGTTAGTCCTAACTGATAAAATACCTTTATCAGATTTAACAGACAAACACATCAGACCCAGCTCTGCACTGCTCCCATACCACTGAAACCAGATTGGGAGCTATGAGAAATGCTATGCTTCTCCTTAGGGAAATTGCCATAAAATTATATGACAGGCTACAATGAATGAACTATGACAAGAATTCCATTTCCATATTACAACAATCTTCCTTTATAGATTGTAATTACTTGAGGGCTGCTAAAGATGGAAGTGAGGTTTTACAATTTTCCCTGCAAACTACAGTTTTGAACTATTTTTATTAAAAAATCCACTTCTTGTAAAGCTAGTGCTGTTAATTATTAATGACAATATGTATTGTATTTTCCATAATTCTCCAAAAAAGACCTAGCTATAGCACAAAACCACTCTGTGCTGGTTTGGCTTAAACTTCCTGGCATTTAATCTAACCAGTTTTCCTGAAAGCAAATCAGACTCTAATCACTACACTGGCATACAATAATAAGTATGAGTGATTATCTTCATTCCATTGTATG